ATATGTGTGCATTTAAGATGAGTTCAACAGAATACAGCCAGGAACAGGCAGCATGCTTTATGTATCCACTCATTCTATGGCCAGATGTGGGAATAGACATGGAATAGTATTTTAACCAACATTTACTCTATTTTAGATACTGCATAAGGCACTTTATATGATTGAAAAATGCAGTGAATGTTTACATTTTATAAATCATTACACTAGAAGACACATTGTCATTAAGTCCTCTCAAATATTCTCCATAGGTTATTGCACTGTTCTTGCCATTTCTGAAGCAGCTCTGGAAGCTGCTTTCCTGAGTGTCTCTAGCTCAGCTGTTATGACTGCCGCAAAGTCCTGAGTCCATTCAGAGTGTCTACTTCCAGTGATCTTTTTGTCTTTGGGAGAGAGCCGGAGTTGTGTGGTACCAGACAGAGTGAATGAAGTGTATGAGGACACGTTGTCATAGTGTTATACACCTGCTTCTCTTTTCCCTTGGCAATAGCATTCACTATATTCGTGCCTCATCGGGACACCCACAAAAGAGCTGTCCCCAAACTTCTGCAGAAAGTAGCCAGAATGATGGGATAAGTGTGTACAAAGCAAGGGGGATTGATAGCAATATTTCTTTTATGATAATATATGTTTTAAATTTGGAAACACACTGTAAATTTGGAATACTTCTTTTTTAGTATTTTTATTCTTACAACCTGTGGTAGGTATATGCAGGTAGTCCTTCTGTGTATTCAATAAGAAATAAAATCCCACATGGTATAAAAATACTCGCTAGCAAACTGACTACAGAATTAAACCCCATCAATAATCACCCTCCATTAGCCCATGTATTCCTCACTGCACGGCATGGGATTTGTTGTTCAATTCTGAGCAGCAAATGGAATATATGGCCAAAACCAAGTGGATACAGTATGGGGTGGGTGGTCTTTACACCAGAGATTAAAGAGAGGCCAAGGAATATCAACAAAAAATGACCCACAGACCAAAGGTTAAGGATTTTTGATCATGCAACAAACATCAGGCTTGGAAAAATAGAAATTTAGCTGTGTAATTATAAAGTTACATAAGAAATATCAAAGGCTGGCTTATGTTTGTCCTAATAATGAGTGTATAGTTGTAATTATAATCTGTGTGGTAGTTGACATGCGATAAAATAAACCCAGTTTCATACTTTTCAGTTACAGAAAAAATTCCTCTTATGTGTTTCTATTATTTATTAAAATAATTTAATTTCCATTTAAAAGAGATTCAGTTTTAAGTGACATTTTCCCCAACATGAATTATTCTCAGGTAATAAGCACTTTCTGTATTACTTTTATTTCATAGAGAGGGAAATTCATGCTCAGAGGAGTTAAATTACTTTCATGAAGTCACATCATTTTCTAGCTGTTAATTTGAGAGAAATGTTTCCAGCTGCAGACTTTTGATGCCAGCACCAGGTTTCTTTCCACCATACATCAGCTATTTTTAAATGTTCTTTCTCTACATTTCATCTCCATCATAATTTTAATTTGACCTCCACCACTTTCTCTTTCCTATCAAAATTCACTAAAGCAAGAACAGTTCCTCCAAATGTCTGCTATTTGGGATCCCTAACAGAATAATCACTGTGGTGAGAGTGGCTTGGTTAACTATTCCAGTCTGAGCTACAGAAATCCAGGTGATTTTTGACCCCAGTTATGGGATGTGTCAAGCTCCTGTGTAGATAGCATCTGTGTTTCATAGTGTTTAATTTTTTTATCCATAACTGCAGAATCTGTGAGTTTCTAATTTGAGGGATACTTTATCCCATAATGCAACTTAACCAAAATATCTCTGACTTGAAAAAGGTGCTTATTAAAAGGTGTCCAATCTGCACAGAAACATCAGGTCCATGGTTCTTCTCTTGTACATTCGTGCCTTTGTTGGCAATAAGTTTTGCTGAACTTTAATATACGCTAGTTAAAAATAACAAGATGCTTCAAGACATATTTTTGGTTATATGCGGGTCACTTTTAAGGAATATTCTTGGTAGTACTAGTCATTGTTTAAAGATCTTATCTTTTGGGGCTGGGGATTTAGCTCAGCGGCAAAGCGCCTGCCTGGCAAGCACAAGGTCGTGAGTTCGGTTCCCGGTACCGGAAAACAAAACAAAACAAAAAACAAAACAAAACAAAAGATCTTATCTTTGTATTTGGATAGCGAAAGACAGAAAAATCTTATGGCCATACTTCCAATGAATGGTCTCAAGATTTCACTGGTTAAGAAAATGATTGCATCATTTCCTTACTGAATTTATTAGATTTCCTCCACCTTTATATCCAGCAGAAAATATCTATCACTTTAATATGAGTAAATACAATATCTCTAGAGTATTAGGCATCAACATGCCATCAATTTAGAAACAAGCTTGGAGTAATTTTGTAATAATGAAATAGAGCCTCTGGCTGTAGTATAAATGATACCACATTGTCAAGATTCTTTCAAAGATGGGTAGAAAATAATGCATTTTAGTGACATTAAGTGATGTCATTATGTGTGTAGGAGAATAATCATAAAAATTAAAACTGAGTTTATGAATAAGACAATGTAAAATCTTGAGTCAAATGCATGATTTAAGCAAAGACAGTGTTTCATATGAATGGTGAATGATGTCTAATCTATGATTTGATTTAAGTAATGCATAGAAAAATGTCTGTCCAAATACGTGTAGTCCACACAGGAGGCCAGTGTACAGGGATACATAATGGATACACTCTCTTGTTCATTGAGTCCAAAATTTTTTGATGTTTCCCATAATGTGGAAAATAAATAGCTATCCTTGTCTCTTGCTTACGTCTACCCAGCAGCACAACTGATATAGCAGCTGCTAGAGCAAAATGTACTGGGTTTGAAATCTATTGTACAACATACGAGCCTTTTGATCTCAGACACTTGACTTAAATGTCCTGTGCCTTCTTTATTCATCTACAATACGGAAAATAATGTAATCTTCAGACTCTAATCCTTAATGAGTCAGCATCTATCAAGTGCTGTTGTCTAACATATGGTAGCAGTTCATTAAATGCTATGTGTATTATCATGCATTTTCAAAGAACATAATATCATATAGATAATTTTTAAATGTTAATTAAACAAATATGTAATTAGCAGTAATGTACAAGAACTTCCCTGTTAAGGACAAAAGCCCAAACCTCAAGGAATTTAAAAACCCAGTGATTAGAATGTCCTACTTGTGTTCAAGGGTCTTTTCAGAAAGAATTCGATGGCAACAAATCTGGGGTAAGATTCTAGGGGGCAGTAAGAGGTCTGGTCCTACAAAAGCATGAGTTGCCCTTACTTGCCACTAAATTTGGAGTATATCTGGTACTTGTTCTTGTGTACGGCTTTGAAGTGAATTATATGAAATCATAACCAGCTTTCAACTTCTCTTAGGATATAAATGTAGACTCTTTGACATCGTTTAACAGACCCCACTTTTAGTAGCTTTAATAGCACTTTATCAAGGCTCGTTTGTTCCTCTCTCTCTAGTCCAGCCGCAGTGGCCCCTGTCAGGGTGTCAGTGTGGTATGTTCCTTCGTATCCCATGACCTCTTCGCATTCTCCTTCCTGTACGGAAGCACGTTCCCCTCACTTCACCTCCGGCTCTCTGGCTTTCAGCCCTTCACACATCTGTGTTAAATTCAGTCTCTCAGGAGAATGAGCTTTGATTCCTTTGGGAATGAGCTACTATTTCCTGCATGCTTTCAAGAGTCCCTCTGCTTTTTAACATTTGTCACAAATTCAGTGAAATAATCAACTCTCTAACAGCAAGGAAATGGGGTCCTATTTACCCCATATCTGCTAAGAAGTAATGATGATCACATTCAGGGAACTTAGTACACTATCGTCTTAAAAACTTGAGAAGGGAGGAAGAGTCAAAAAGAAGAGAGATAGAAAGACAGAGACAGAGACAGAGACAGAGAGAAAAGATTGATTTTTTAAGTGTGTTAGGTCCTTTTGCTCACTCCTACACAATGCCTGGGTGCCTAGAAGTGGTTCTAAGATGTCAAGGGCGCCTATTCTTCCCTCAGCCATTCTTATTAACCAGCTATCTTTCATCATGGAAGAGAACGGTAGTACTTGAATGTAGGGTTTCTTTAGATTTTGTTTTGTTTTGTTTTGTTTTTTAATAGCATGGTTCCTATGCACAACCCAACACTGTCTTGTGCTCAGTGAAGGAAGAAATTGATCCTCCATCTCTAGGAAAATTGACTGTGTTGAATTAATTGAGGAAAATTACTTGCCCCTCAGGGTGGAGATTTTCACTATTCAATTCTTTAGAGTAATTTGGGTAATGTGTAATATTTACCTTACTTGCTAATTTAGAACCTAACAGAAAGAAGTTGCAACTTTCTCTATTTTGTGCTTAATATTTATAATATTGGCTCAAAATACATGGTCTGTGAGGGCAGAAGATATGTCTGTAAATCTTACTATTGTGCCTAACACATATCAAGATGCCTTTATCTAGTTGAACTTCATAAAAGTTTGTCAATTGAATTAGCATTCTACCAGTGTTTTCAGGGTCAGTCTACTTGACAAGACTACAGATTTTGGACATATGAACATTTAAAAAACATGACGGATAGCTCAGACATGGTGGCACACACCTGTAATCCCAGCACCCGGGAGGCTGAGGCAGGAGGATCACTATGAGTTCTTTGCCAGCCTGTGCTACATAGTGAGTTCAAGGCCAGCCTAAACTGCATAGCAAGACTCAGAGAAAAGAAGAAAAAGAAGACAGGAACCTTTTGAGACCCCTTAAAGCATTATGAAGGTGGAGATAGCCTGTGTCTTGCAGAAACTTAAATAAAAATGGCAAAAAAAAAAAAAAAAAAGAAAAAACCCACCTTAAAGTGGGACAGGACAGAGTTTGGTGTATTCCCATGAAGACTTATATATGTAAGCCACCATTCTGTCCTTCAATTCCCATTCTAAGCCACACTCTAACTGAAATGTTGATGCCTCCCTTATCATTTTAGGTCGAAGGAGCCGGACTCGATTTATCATTATGCCAACCCAGGGAGAAGGACGGCCATGCCCCACCGAGCTTATCCAGCAGAAACCCTGCCCAGTGAGCCCCTGCTACAGCTGGGTCATTGGCAACTGGTCTGCATGTAAATTGGAGGTAGGTCATGTAAGACATTTAGCGAAGCACTTCTTAGTGTGTCCAGAGCACTTGTCTGGTCAAACGTGCTGATGGAATAAATCCATAGCCCCAGGGGTCTGGCGCAATATATTTTTAATGCAGGGGAGAATGTAGAAAAATACAGCCAAGTGACTTAAACTCATGCAGAGTGAAACTGTTAAAAAAAATTATCCATTAGGCACTGATGATAATAAGCTGGATTACGGGATTATCAATCTTTTTGGCATTCGCAAGAATCCCCTTGTTTTCTTGGCTTGTTGGGAATATCAAAGTATTATTTAATTAGGCAAAACCCCACTGCTGTGGAATCACATGGCTTGCTTTAGAATGTATTTTTTAAGAAGCACTTTTAGGTTAGGTTAGGACAAAATCTTACACATAAGCTGGAAACCAGAAGTGTATGAAGTTACATTTTAACATTATTGCATGAACTGAGGTCACTACATTTTCCTCGATGATTACTTTTTTTATTGGCCCAAAATATCATCATATATCACATACCCAGAGCTTCTGCTGAGTCAGCAAAGATCCTCTACGGCCTGTTGTCTCTGGCTTCTTCCTGAAGAAATAGTGCATTGATTTTTCCCTATCTTCTTATTTCACTAGTTTACCTTTCAATTCGTGTTCCAAAGCATCTATTATTTAGGTAATGATAACTTTGATTGTGTGTTAGGAAATGTGCACAGTATTTTCATTGTGTTCCTGCCGGGATGACATGGTCCTGCAGCCTCGTTGCCCTGCAGAAGTTTAATACCCATGCACTGTAATAGGTCCCAGAGAAGCAAAGATGTGCGGTGAACCTGTTCACTCTCCTTTTCATGTGAAATAAACTAGCCCTGCTAATTAAGTAATTCAAAAGTAAACTAAAAGCTTTGAATATTCATACTTTTATTTACTAGCATAGTATTTTTTCTAGTCTTCAGCACTTTTTAAGTGCTCAGGATCACTTATCATTAGAAAATGGAAAGAATAGTCTTCCTTATAATTGTGATAACTTTGACAGAGTAGTGAAAACAAGCTCCAAAATTCAGGGAGCCATTCACTGCAAAGGAAGGGAGAGGGGGAAATGTTAGGAAGAAGAGGGACAAAGCAAAGGGCAGGAAGGAGGGAGGAACTGGAGACAGAAGATTGACAGGATCCCTGTTCCAAGTCTCACAGGTGTGTAACTGCCACTGTGCCTTAGTTGTTTTTTTTTGCACTTTGCCTTTTATGCTCTCAGGTGTCATCAGCCTTTTCGGATAGACAAGTCTGCCAACTTGTCTCATAGGCACATTATAGGAAAATGCCAAGTGTACTGCATTGCTGTCACATGTTGAGCTTCTTCCAGACTTTCAGGGATAGAGTGATGGGCTGGACCACTCCCTGTAACGGTGATGACAGTGGGAGGAGAGTTGTTGCATCTCACGGAGAGACTCAGTTTAAGAAGGCTCAGCATTGCCTCAAATTCTAGATTATGTTAGTTCCACTCGCTGACACAGTCAAGAAGAAACTGTGGATGTAGACTTATTCTAGGCAAAGCCCTTAAAGAGTATATTTGTTGCTAATTATTTGGGGTAAGCTGCCTACCTCAGCAAAGCCAGTGAAAGGTTTTTTTTCCAGGAGTTTGGAGCAGATTTGAAGCTATTCAGAGATACTATAATCAGGAATACTCCGCTGACACATTTTTCCACCTTATAGATAAATTCAGTCATTCAGAAGCAAGAACACAAAGAAGGCTCTTAGGGAGAGCAGAGGCAAAAGAGAAAGCCTATCGGGGCAGTACTTGAGCTTATTACATCCTGAGTCCCAGAGTCATTGATATTTTCCCAGAGCCTAAGTTTTAATTATTTGTGGGACAGATAACATAGTATCCTTTGAGTGAATTGTCTTCTTTCAATTTATATGTAGGTTGGGGTTTTGGCATTACTGATCGAAATACATGCAAACCTCTCACTCAGAGGAATAACACCACTCTCCAGCTGTTTTTCTGCTTCCTCTTATTCCAGCATGTCCTAACCTGCCAAATGCAGGTGAGACGCTCATTCATGGAGGTGGTGATGACATTTCCATGGCTACTTGCCATCAAGAAGTAGCAAACCGTAAGAGAGGCTTATAGGACAGGGTGAAAAGATATGCCAGTTCTACCACTACCTTTTATAGGAAGACATTAACAAAGGGAAGTATTTATCCTCAGTCATCACTTTTTTATTGTTTCCTGTTTTTTCTCCAATTCTCCAGATGCTGAAGTATATACATACAGATGTTGATTAATTTCTTGTGGGAGCTCAAACTCTGTGGGTTAGCAGCCCTAATTTTGGTCATGGTTCTGGCAATTCCTAGCAATGCAGTTTTGGCCAAGTTTCTAAACTCTGCAAACTTGTGTACGTCATGAGAATAGCAATAGATTGATTCTAGAACCCCCTAGAAATTAACATCTGCAAAAGCTTAGATCCATCATATTAAGTGGTATAATATTTGGGCATAACTTACCCAACAACCTTTCATAAACTTTGAATCATTTCTAGATTACTTATAATGTTTAAGATAATGTATTATTTAATATATTATTTGTTTTATTGATATAGTATATTTTATCTTATAGGAAATAGTGATAAGCAAGCACATGTACATGTTTGATAAATATCCATTTTTTAGAAATTATTGTTTTAATTTTCAATTGGTTGAGTCCAAGTTATTGAATGTGGACCACCCAAATATGAAAGACCATCTATACCTACTTTGCTGAGTTTTGGAGGGTACTATGTAAGTTGTATAAACTACTTGCCCTTATACCTGACATAAATTAAGAGCTCAATAAATTATAATTTCTATTATAATTTTGATTAAAACTATGATTATGTTTATTAGCACCATCTGCCTATCCACATTTGATAGAGATAGCAATTCAGTGTACACAAAACCCCATTTGTGATCTGGATAGTGGATAGTTAGTATGAGAACCCTGGATGTTGACAATCTTGCTCTAAAAAACTCAAGTCTGTTTTTGGGCCTTGGTGTTTAATGTCTTTTTAATGTGGGTGAACTTGTTTTGTGAGTGAAATTATTATTCTGTTGCTCATTTAGCTTCATATAGTGGCTGCTGTCAAAGATATAAGAGATTAAACTTTAAGACAGGTTTATTCCAAGATACATACTAGGAGCCTATTGCTATTTGTCTTGGTTTTTAAAGTGATCCCTGGTGTAGACTTGTTTCTTGTCATTTCTTTACTCTCTGCCTCGTAGAGTGTCAAACAAAACTCTCACCCACTGCAACTTCTTTTACTGGAGGTCTCAGGTATTAGGACTTTCATATTATCACATGCTGCAGTGCCTTTAGAGACTTTTTTCTAACTACACAAAGTCTAATGCTGTCTAACAAACATATACCTAGAAATTCTGCAATGGATCTGTCAGTTGAATGGTGAAAACATAGATGAATCCTCCCTCCTGAACATGAAATTTAATTTATACTGCTATTTTCCATTTTAGGGAGCAAACATTTACTATAACATTTGTTTTGAATGGATTTACTGTATATTTTTTGAACCTCCTTTTATCTTCAAAACAATGCATGTAAGTTAAAAGTTATAGAACTGCTTTTATAATTTCACAAAAGTCATAGAAATAAACAAAACAATTATTAGATGTTGATGAATCAAGTGTAAGAATTGCCATCTGCTGTAGTCTGGAGTTTGGATCTCCTCACAATTCACATTGAAACTGAACCCCAAATATGATGGAATTAAGGGATAGTACCATTGAGGAGATATGATTAAGTCATGGGGGTTGTACACTCATGCATACAATTAATACCCTTGTAAAAGAGATTTTAAGGAGATTGCTCTCCCCTTCTGTCATGTGCACACATGTAGAAATTGCTATGTATAAAGAATAGGCTCTCACCAGACAATAAGTCTGCTAACATATTGACCTACGACTTCATAGCTTTCTGAACTATAAGCAGTAAATTTCTGTTGTTTATCAGTTATCGAGTCTAAGGCATTTTCTTATAGCAACTTAAACTGATGAAGATACTATTTTAAACAAACCAATTACAAGTTGTGTAAAAACATCGCTGAAACAGGATACAATGTTCCCAATTCATGTGCTTTTTCAGATTCTTTAGATTTTAACTTTCTACAACTTGGCCTTCTCTAAATCATAGCTTTCCATTTTTGGCGTTATCCATAAAGTCCTCCTTATCCATAAAGAACACCTTCCAAAACTCCCAAAGGATGCCTGAAATCTTAAATAGTATGAAACCTTCACATAATTTTTCTATACATCAATGACAATAAACCTTAATTTATAAATCAGTCACAATAAGAAATTAACAATAACAAATAATGAAATTGAACAAGTATAAAAATATATTGCAAAAAATTCCAAATACCACTAATCTTTTGCTTTAAGGCCATTAATAAGTAAATGAGAGTTACTGGAATATAAGTATTTTGACAATATGACAAGTGATCTGATAACCAAGATGCCTGTTAAATGACTAACAGAAGGGTAGTGTATACAGCTTAGATACATTGTTTAAAAAGATGATTTCTATCCTCTGTGGATGGAATAGGATAGTTTAAGATTTTTTCATGATATTCAGAATAGCACAAATTTAAAATATAAATTGTTTATTTCTGGAATTTTCCATCCAGTATTTTTTAGACCATGGCTCACTATGAATAAGTGAGACCTTAAAAGGAGAAGGAACCCCAGATAAGGGGTGAGGGTTGGCTACTGCCTGCCTCTAAGTCACCACTTCCTTCGTGTTGAGACTTTTTCTCAGCAGCTGCTCTTTGCCTACCTTCTCCTCCACCAGACTGCATCATCTCTTCCTGATGCCTAGCAGCTGCTGGCATAGTGCCCCTCGGACCCATCAGTTCATGGATCACCTCCTTCGTGCCCTGCAACACTAGCATGGCATGACTGTGCTAACCGACCAGGCTGTGACCTCTGCAGAGCAACAGCATCTCCAAAGCATAGAGAATGTAGTGTCTACCTCCTGATAAGGGAAAGAGATGAAGCGGTGAACCCAGCTTCTCAGTGCAGACTGTCAGACTATCATCTAATAAGGAATTCCCTCTCTCTCTCTCTCTCTCTCTCTCTCTCTCTCTCTCTCTCTCTCTCTCTCTCT